AATGAATGTAATTTCTATTTTTTGAGAAATATGACTTACAATATACTTAAATGTGTACAGTATGAACCACAGTGGAGTGGGTCTCTTCTGCAACACATGTCTCTGCGTGATCTCGTGGGGGAGTAAGTAGTTTTTGTGGACCTTCGTTAGGAAAATGCAAATTCTGCACTGCTGTCACTGCGGCAAGGTGTACAACCTAAAACCGTGTTCTATTCCAAGTAGGGTCTTGGTGGACCCTTTTTGTTTCCAGGGCACATGGCCACAACTGAGCTTCCCAGTCTGCTCAGCTGTGTGTTCAGAGCTGTTCCATCACCCTCTGACACCACTGGCACAGCTTTGAGATGCAGAGACGTGCAGGCAAGAGGAAAGGACATCCCAGTGGACATCCCAGGCCCAGACACTGGCCCTGGCAAGCAAGGGAGTTCTGGACAAAGGACTTCGCTCACCTGGACTTTCCTTTCCTCCCCATGGAATTAATTTTTGTGGTCTGTCCTGCTTGTAACATCATGATTTTTATTATCTGATGTTTGTTGCAAGATAGTGTCTTTTTCATTTTCTGTGTGTGTGTGTGTGTGTGCGTGTGTGTGCGTGTGTGTGTGTGTGTGTGTGTGTGTGTGTGTGTTTGTATAACCGGGGATTGAACTCAGGCTCTTGCGCTTGCCAGGGAAGCACTTATTCCACTGAGCCATCTGCTTGGCCCCCTTCAGTTTCATGTCCTGTATTCAGAGCCACGTTTTCTGCTCTATAGTGCACCACTGTTTCTATTCCTCCCAAACCTTCAGTGCTGATCTTTACTGTGCAGTAGCAGTTTGTTAAATTAGCAAATGACTCCACATAGGAGGAGCAGTGCAAGAGTCCATCCGCCGTCACGTGCTGCTGTGCCTTCCTGTACAGCGCACTGTTTGCAGTGCGGGTTGCTAGGTGAATTACGGTAACTGCATGACGCATTCGAATGACATGAGCACGCAGAAATCAGTGCCCAACCACTGCTGTTGCCACGATTACTTGGCTCACTTTCTGTGACTATGGGATAACATACATGTGATGTTATAACCACTTCTTGTCCATAATAAAGATTTTTCCATGTCAGTAATATTATTTAATTTTCATGGCCATGTGCTACAGTAGTTGATTCCACCAAACCTATTCAAGTTCATTCAAGGTCTCCATGTTATAAACAACGTACCTAAATAATTTACTTTAAAAAGAAAATGCACTACTTTGGTAACAGAAAACATGTTTTCTTAAGAAATGCCTGTTCCCATGATACCACAGACTTCAGCTTAATTCAGAACCAAAGTGCGTAGAAGAAGGTAGACAGAGGTGAAAAGGGCACAGCAGCCTGACCCAGCATGCAGAGCAGCCAGGATTATTGTTGTACTCACGCTGCGTGAGACAAGAGCAGCTTTCTTAAATCCAAAGCATCACCCCTTTCCCCACTTGATCAGAACGAGGAGAAAATGCATGGCCAGACCATAGGGGAGGAGGATCTGCATGGAGATGGGGGCTGTCCCTGGGCATGCAGCCCTCTGATGGCTGGCCTAAGACAGAGCTCATCTTCTGTTTTGCTATGAATGAGAATATTACTAGTTCTGAAAGAGCCTGCCCTTTTGTTGTAGGCTTTGAAGGTGTAACAGGAAAGGTTGTAAGCATAGAATCACAATAGTAGGTAGAAGACTAATTTGAAGCATTCGAGTCAGTGTTGTAGAGAACTAAGTCATAGTGACTGTAGGCTTGCTGGTTCTTGCTTGCTCCTGATCTCTGCCACTATGACCTGGAATGTCTCTAGAGTCAATAGTGGTTTTTTAAGAAAGTTTTCACCATATACACCACTGCAATTAAGAGGGAGATATAGCAGTAATTCAATCCTTTACTGTTTGCATGCTTTTTTATTCCTAATCTTTGCCAGATGTAGACTGGCAGTGTGCCCAGAGACCAAGCACTTTCTGAGAGAGGTAGTTTTGTTCTTTTCTCCCTTCTAGACAAAGAATTCTTGAAGGAAAAGGAGAAGTTAGAAATGGAGTTAGCAGCAGTGCGGACTGCAAGTGAGGACCATCGAAGACACATTGAGATCCTGGACCAGGCTTTGAGCAACGCCCAAGCCAGAGTCATCAAGCTGGAAGAGGAGGTGAGACCAGGCTTAGAGGTTCGGGATGGAGAGGGGGGCAGAGCCCAGAGGCCTCCACTTCTTTTCCTAACTCAGGTACTGTCAGCAGAGTCAGCTAGAAGGATCTGATTCTGCGGAGAAGGTGGGTTTTAGAAGCCTCCCAAGTAAAAATGAATCAAAGCAGAATTTCTCCAGCCCAGAGCCAGGCAAAGTATGAAAGGCACACGTGAATGCGATTACGAAGAGCCCACAGCCCGAGTGTCCAGACTAAAGCCTGTTGGGCTGGAAATAAATGGAAGCCTGGAAACCACTGGTGCCTGTACAGACACAAACCATTTTTCAAAAATAGCCCAATCTCTGTGTCTTGGGGCTTCCAACGGCTGTCTGATGGGGCGGGATGGGGTGGTGCTCAACAAATCTGTCTCCAGTTTGTAGAAGTTGGCTTGGCCCTCAGTAAACCACACCCTACCCTGGAGCCCTCGATGCCATTCAGGCAGTGTGGATTTGGCAGTTTGTGATGCTGTCAACCTCTTTGCTGAACTTTGGTGGGATGGACTTTCCCGTGACCGTGGGGTGAAGCATCAGAACGATTTCTGGGGTCCAGCCTGGGACGCCTGGACATACAGCCTGAGACAGGTGGAGGAAAGGTGTAGCCCTTTGCATTAGGGGCTGGGCTGGAGCAGGACCCACTGCCGGGAGGAGAGGCTCGGTCCTGGGGATTGTGTCTCAGTGTGTGCTCCGTGCTTGGAACACAGGAAACAGTAATGTTATTAATCCTACTGTTGTGATTAATTCTACTTGTTACTTTTCCAACAACAGAGGGTAGGTCGTTATTCCTTCAAATAACATCTCCTGATGAAGGTATTGCAGAGAGCTCTGCAAACTTCAACAGCAAGAGTGACACTGCTACAGAGGAAGATTTTTATGTGAACGAGGGCCTTGTCCATTAGAAGCTTTTAAATCCTGCAAGTCTTATGTAGAATCTATGATGTTAGTGGTAGCAGGAGGATCCCAGGCAGCAGCCCAGAGTATCTTCCCGGTTGCCCCAGAGATTGACCTTAACCCCTTGGAGGCAGGAGGCCTGCTCTGAGAAAGAAGGCCTGTACTCCTTATTTTGTCATCCCTCAATTCGCTTCTTGCGGCTCCATGTCCATGTGTGGAGCGAAAGGAAATTATAATTTCAAAAAAATTAGGAGTCCCTTGACAGTAGGTTCTCCAGAATCCCATTATGGCCTTTTCTTGTCACTGTTCTTAGGCAGTGTCTCTGTTGGACTGAATGAGGCCTCTCCAGAGTGACTCATTGTCTGCTCCCCACCTCACTCTTCACCCACCGTGTTTTCTTCCAAAGGGCCTTAATTCAGGCCAGATGACGGGTGCCTGGAGCTTCCCATAGTTCATCGTTCCTGCGAGGACCTGAGCCCCATGACATACCAGCTCTGTGACCTCTGACTTTGTCCCCTGCTTTCTCTTCTCCTAAAGGGGATAATAAAAGACTCTACCACTTGCTGTCATTGAGAGGATTAAATGAGAACTCATAAGGCACAAAGCTTGGTGTCGTACTTCTCAGGAAATTTTAGCTGACAGAACTGCTGGTAGTAGTCATCCGTGCTGTAATGCGCTCCTTGCTACACGTAAGGTTGATGTAGAGGTGAAGGAGGCAAACCGTGCCTGCGGACTGCTCTGGGCTTGAGCATGCCCACTCTCTGCCCAGCAAGGACCAAAGTAGGCAAGTCCCATAGAGTTTGCCGTCCAAGAGCTACACATCCAGAAAACTTTGCAGTAGAAGATACAGTAAGTGGTGTCTGGATGAAGCACACGGGATGTTGGACCCAGTGAGGCTCCTGAGAATTGCAGAACTTAGGCTTAGTTCTCAGAAGCTGTTCAGTTGAATTGAACAGTCAAAAGCACAATGAGTGAAAAGTCCGTGCACAACTTGATGCCCAAAACAGGTGTAGAAGTATCTGTTAGGTTGGTTTCCGTCCCTTGAAGGGTCAGCAGCATCTCCACCCTCCTTTGGTGGCTCTGGATGAGGAAAGACCCGGCTCTTGGCCGAGCTTCAGGCTAAGTCAGAAATCTCTCCTAGCAACAAGCTGCTCGATCACTAGCAGGTTGCAGCGCGCCAGTGTGGTCCAGACTTGAGCTCAGGACCACATCACCACAAGGCATCTGCACACTCGGGCACAGAATACCAGGAAGCAGCAGCTGGTGTCTTCACCCCCAGGACCAGGTCTAGTGAATGCTCACCTGATGTTTGCACCAGCCCATTCGCAGAATGGCAGAGATGTGTCTGGATTTATGAACATGGGCCATACTTCCAATTAGTAGAAAACTGTTTCAGTATGAGTTTAAAGTTATGGGTCACAATTTTAAATCTATACTCATTTTAAGCTAAATTTCCACTTCTGAAGTCATTTGTTCAGTACTCATTATGCCCTTCTGTCTCTTTTTTCTTGTCAACTACTCGAGGTCTCTGAAACCTTCAGTCTGTAAATATTTACAGGAAACTTCTACACACCAATGGGTATATATACAAAGATACGTAGAGACACATGTACTTTCTTTATGGCAAAATATACTCAAAGAAAAATTTAGGTTCTTTATTTTTTCTTTATAGATAATTTTCTTTATGCAGTAATTACTATTCAGCCATACAGATAAATAGAGTTAATACTTTTAAGTATTTATTCTCAGTACTTTCATTCATGGACCAATATGTAGAAAGACAAAAACAGTGATAATGTATGTAATTTTTTGATTTGGGTTTTTCATTTAACATCACAGGGTAGGTATTTCTTCACTATTAAAAGCTCTTCATTAACCTCATTTCCAAGGCCTGCAAATGCTATGACTATTAAGGAATAACCAGGCATTGAGCTCAAAACTGTACCTATTCCCAAAGCCAGTGCCCAGCAAGGTCTCTCTTTCCAAACCTCTTGGCCACGGCTGATGCTTGGTGAGAACTTTTCTGTCAGAGCACACCTGAGGGAGAGGAGAAGGGAGGTGTCCACACCTGTACTCTAGGTGGGATTTCCAGGAAGTCCGGCTCCCTCCCATCTCCATTCCAGCACTGACAATCACAGGGCTCAACTCGGTGCCTTTGCACTCTTCTCAGCTACGAGAGAAGCAGGCGTATGTGGAGAAAGTGGAGAAGCTGCAGCAGGCTCTGACACAGCTGCAGTCTGCGTGTGAGAAGCGAGAGCAGATGGAGCGTAGGCTGCGGACCTGGCTGGAGAGGGAGCTGGATGCACTGCGGACCCAGCAGGTGAGCGAAATTCATGCACTGCGAGCATGTAGTGCCCTCAAGAGTGAGCCACTGCTCCCTGCACTGGGTGCTCAGAGCTCCCTGTTCTGAAACCGGGCCACCAGAGGGGCGTCGGGTGGTCCACTCACTGTTGGAGAAACAGACTTGCTCACAGAGAGAGGATCCCCCACCTTGGGGCTGTGGGAGGGAAGGCAGCTTCACATCTGAGTGGGACTTGGTGGGGCAACCTTGGTGGGCATCCAGGGTGCAGGACACAGGAATGTGTGAAGGAGAGTGTCATGGCGTGGCGGGGCAAGTCAGGCAGCTGGGTGCCATGGGGACTGTCACAGAGAAGGCCAGTGAGGGGGCAGTGGCCCATTTGGGGAAGGCTTTTGGTCCAGTGAAGAGGATGGGCTTTCTCCTGCAGTCAGAAGATGAAGTGACAGTTCACCCCTGGAGGGCAGGTGGCAAAGTGCGGTCTAGGACTTAGCACTGGCGGGAGCCCCGGAAGAGCTGAGGGCACGAGGAGCAGAAGAGGACAGTGATAGGCATTGTGGTCACTGAGCTCTCAGAGGCAGTTGAAGGGAGGTGGGCCACACCACCCCGGGAGGTGATGTTGGCCACAAGCTGCACCTCTTTCTGCCTCTCTTCTGGGAACCGCTGCTGATGCTACTCAGCTGTGAGTAGGCCTGCGGCGGAATGCTGCACCCAAGGCGTGTGTGCATTGTGCGAACAGCAGTGTCTTGCAGGAAAGCTGCTCTCCGGGCTGGCCGGGGGCTCCTGGCTCCTCGTCATCTGCCAGTATGGTAGGCCCAGACCGCCAGGCAGTGATGCGGCCAGGTGTACCTTCATTTGGGCTTCTGGGAAATGTGAGGCAGGCCCCTGGAGTTAGCCGCTGGACAGCGACTGGTCGTGGTAGTTGAAGCACTTGAAAACACTTGAAAGTGTGATCAGGCCAGCTCGGCCCTCCTGCATGGCAGCCCATGCGCTTCCCTCGGGTGTGTGCGCTTGGCTGACAGAACGCGTGTTCCCAGGATTGCCCAGAAAATGAGGAAACCCGCTCTGGCCTCCACCACCTTGGCAGTCGATGGCTTGTGAGGAAGGGTGGGTCCTTCTCCTGTCTTTTGCTAGTACAGCCTTTGCCACATACCTGGCATCAAATGACACTGTCCCCTGTTTCTGACTCAGCTATGGAGAGTTGGGCCTTGCCAACACTAGAACAGGGCATTTCCAGAAGGTCCCAAGCATGGAAGATTCTGACAAGTTTTTGGCTGTTGTAGTAGGCACATCTCTATTCTTAGAGCCAAGAAGAATGTTCTCTTCCAATTAATGTGCTAGCCACACCCTGCAGTTAGGATACTTTTACACTTGGCTTTTCTATTTTGAGTGCTATAGAACCAGACTCAGCTCTCTTATTCTTGTCATGCATCAGGAAGAAATGAGATTCTGGAGCTGTCTGGAAAATGCCCAGATTGCCGCAGAGCAGCTCTCTCACATGCACGCAGGTCCGTGTGTGCCCACCATCCCATCCTCAGGCCGGGAGCAGCACACGCGTGCCCTGTGCAGAGGCTGAGGTAGACACGGCGCACTGTGAAGCCAGCGGTGTAGGACTGGGGCTCCCCAGGCTTTGTCTTTGGGAACTTAGGGCAGATCCCCAGCTGCATGTGGCTGACAGGAACCCAGAGGGGAAGACAGTCCATAAGATGGAATAGAACCTCCCCGTAAGTAATACTTTGGATTTTTTAATGAGAGTACATATGAATCCGTCTCCTACGATGCGAAGTGCATTGTGATTTTCCTGTTGCTCTTATGTACGTAGTAAAGATGGGTATTTTTATTTTTGTCTTTATCAATACTTCTTTTTTTAATTTTATTGATAAACAGATAGCAATGAGACAGTTTCAAATCAAATTGGAAGTACAGTTTCAACAAATAACACACTGCATATATTCTTCTTAGTGGTTAATTGCTGTACAAGATGCGGACTTGAGATCCTATTTACA